TTTTTTTTCCCTCACCATATCTTCCTAACTATCTCACCACTGCCCTCGTGGTCAGAGTATAGGATAATCCAGCCCGTAGAAATAACGCTACACTTAGAATGGTAGGGCTTCAACTATATGGCCTGATGTGTTCATCAGGGGCTAATTTTAATTGCTGGTTCAGTGTTGTTGTGACATAAAGTCAACATAATTTACTATCAGAAACAGGATGCTCCACAAACATGTGTAACCTCCATCAAGGAAACGCTTATGAAATTAATTCTGATGATTTGTTGGGTATTTGTATTATTTGTTGTATTGCTGAGCCACACAGACAAGCAAGTTCCACTTTGAATATTTGATTACCATTTAGTTAACTAAGTAGGGATGCCACATTAACCACGGTGTTTGTGGGTAAAATAGGAAAATGATTCTTCCAGAACTTTACCGTGGTTACAATATCCACTGACCTGTTGAAAAATTTCTGAATAGGCACACGGTGAGAAGAGGATCCAATATAACATTGGTGTAGCCATCATCATTAAAGTCTGTTACAGTCATACTCAATAACGAGTTGCATCAGGCACAGAAGGCTGCTGGTATCCATGGGGTAATATGCCAGTGTCTATAAGAGAATGGAAGAGTAAGTGGGAGAAAGACGAGGCAAAAAAAAATCAAAACAATCCTTTAGCCAGATAATGGGCTAGGCAAGTTAAAACAAGAGAACTGTGGATGCCAGAAATCTGAAACAAAATCAGAAATTGCTGGAGAATGGCTTTTCAGAAGAAGGGTCACTGCACTTGAAACATTAACTCTGCTTTCTCTAAGGGCTAAGCAGTTAACTAAGCATAATTTTTGTAAAAATGCTGTTTACTATTTTATTCAAGATTTTGTTCCACATCAACCACCACCACAAATACCATCGATGTAATTCTTAGCTAGTGTCCAAAGTTGTTCTCCTCCTTCATACCAGAAATTGGTTTGGGAAGGATTTGCTCTAATATATTTATGTGTGTAACTTCAAAGATCATATGAAACTCAATTTACCTTTTACTATAACATTGCACTTCATTAACATTGCCAGCATTTAATGGAAAAAATCTTAGATAATTTTTGATTGGAATTCAGTTTGTAATTTAAAAAAGTGATGTTAACTGTGGCAGTGTCATGAAAACAGAATTCTGGGCATATTTAATTTTTGTTCAGTTAAACTAAGACCTTGGAGTCTTATCAGGATTGCACTCCAGAGGAAAAAAAGGTACAACATGACAAAAAGAATTTTACATTAAAATTATCAGTCTGTTGCAGACATCTGCCTTTGTTGAGCTGTCATGTTACCATGAAAAGAGTGAGACTAGCACTGTTGTCACAAATCTCAGCAATTGCATTCAGGCCAAATTATCCAATATTTTGAACAGTGCTGATTGCTTTGTTCAGCATTACAGCCTTATTCAACTTTGTCCCGATTTGACCATGGTGTTGTGTGTGTGTGTGTGTGTGGTTATCACACTGGGAAATGGAAAATTCCATCCAATGACAATATAAAATTCTCTGGTCAAGTCTACCGTAATTGAAACAGAATGCAGTGTACCATTAACATTGACCTGTGAATAGGTCCAACCGCAAAAGAACACAGTCCATAGTAACAATCTGATACCTTCTTTGCCCACGCATTTTTGCTTGGTGTCTTGACACTTACAATTTTCTGAATGAGATCGTTGTCCATTCCTTGAAATTCCAGTTTACAGCTAAAACCGCCCCAATTTATTGACAAAGGACACTGACAAATCTTTAAGAATTGAATGGACGTTTGGTAGAAGACATTAATCCTTCCTTTTTTAAAAAAATTTACTCTCAAGTCAAAATAGAATATGCAGACAAAAACAGGTTTGTCAGTGCTTAAGACTATTTTAAGATGTGGACATGTCATCAATAACCGAATGATGGAGCAATCCAGATGTACAACATTTTTCTTTCCCTTGGTGTTCATAAAAGTGTATGTTCAGAAGAGCAGCATTTCAATAATCACAGTGTTCTGCTCTCCTTGCTTGGTTTACCTCATTTAGCTGTTTTCTGTCACTAAAGAATTGTGAACATGGAGAACCATTGTGTATAAAACCATTAAGTTTATACACAAGATGCATAAGTCCTGGATCATTTTTAAGATGAGCAAATCTTTACAATTGGAGTTCGTGGGTGCAGTGAACTTCATTGATCATGTCAGATATGTTTTCCTTTAGAACTAGCAAATTGACTTATGACAGCTAGAGCACAGCAAGGTCCACTTGAGAAACTGACTGTGCAAGAAAAAGTCAATTTCTTGTTACTAACCTGATGATAGAAAAAATAGCTGGTTCTTCATTTTAGATACACGTCTGCCAAAACATTTACTGTATTTCAATTGCTCCTAAACACTAACTTGCGTGACATTCTGCTTCAAACCTCAATGATTATTTTAGCAAGCTTCCACCAAGATATTCTAGATATTCACTCTGCATATCCAGGTAAATTCCCATTCCTGGCAATTTTAAAAAATTCATCCATGAAATATTACCTTCACTGGTGAGAGCAGGATTTATTGTCCTTCCCTAATTGCTCAGAGGGCAGTTATGAGTCAGTTGTATTGCTGTGGGACTAGAGTCCCATGTAGGCCAGACCAAATAAGGATGGGCAGATTTCTTTCCCTAAAGCATGTTAGTGAACCACATGGTTTCTTTGAAACAACTGACAGCACAGGGCTGGCCATTAGACTAAGTTTTTTTTAAATTAAAAATTCTAGATTTTGTTGCATTCAAATTTCACCATCTGCCAGGGTGAGATTTGAATACCTGCTTGCAGCACATTAGACTGGGGCTCTGGATTTTGAACCACTAGGCCAGCACCTACCGAATAGCATTGGCTTGCAGAGTCCCATTTGTAATTTGTAGAGTTACAGTATTTTATTCAGATGAATGATTTTTGGATACATTGGATACTGTACCACTATTATATGAGCCTCACTTTTAGCAAGCTAGAAGTGGCCTAGTGAATCAGCATTAATGCGTAAGGTCCATGAAAAATGGGTCACTTTGCCACTAGAACAGTAAAGGTTGCATCAGCTTCACTTTTCACACAAGTAATTGTATCATTTTTAGCTGAAGTGTAAAATGTGTAGAATGATTTTAAATTTGTTTAGTCTGGGCTTCATAGTCTAATTTTAAATTCTATAATAAACATACTGTATTAAGTGGGATGATAATCACTGCATGTCACTAAAGCTCTAAAGAGCCCAGTTCTGCTGAATTTAAATAGTCAATTAAAGATTATTAAATTGCAGCTTTTTGTAGTAATTAGTCCTCTAATAATTATCTAAGCTCCTTCCCAAAGATCACTTCCAATCTAAAAATCTCACGCCATCCTTTTCAAATGCAGCAGAACTCTTTTATATTGAAATCATTCCACACTTCTGATAAATGTTTTCGGGAGTCAGTTAATTGTATTTAATGATTGACATTTTTACAAAATTCAGCGCTCACTTAATTTCAATTACGATAATGGACATTGGTTACACTTATGGTGTTATGTAAAGGATAGCAACATCACAGGAACGGAAATGAACAGTGTGACTGAGGAAGTAAATGAATTACAGTGAGCTGCTGATTGGAGCACTGCAACCAAACACTACATACATTGCCAGGTATACAGGATTTACTCTACTATACAAACTATAAGATTTTGGTCACTTGGATGAAATTTATTAAATTGATCATTTAACTTTGAATCAGAATATCATAAATTTTAGTTTTCAGGAGCAAAATGGAATGAAATGTTGGACAAAAATCAAAAATGTAGGAACTTTCAAAAAGGAAGCTGCTTTATATTATCAGACTAGCAACAAGAATTGACTCTTTCTTGCACTGCCAGCTTCTCAAATGGACCTTGCTATGCTCTAGCTATCAGTTCATTTCTTGGTTCCAAAAGGAAAATATATCTGATGTGAACAAAGAATCTCAATGCACCCACTTACTCCAATCATACAGACTTGCTCATCCAATCATTTAAATGCAGTTTTCTTCTCTAGCTTCCCTGCCTTGATATTTGAAAAAGTTCCTCACTTGTCAAAGTCGTATGTAAGAAATAAATGGAAGAAATAAAAGGAAGTGTGTTATTGAATTTAATGTTAATTTTACTGTTCCAATACTATTATCTCTGTGGGCACCAGAGAAACCATTTCATTATTTGGAAATAGGTAGCCCTGCAATGTCACTTGATTTTTTCTGTGGCATAAACACTGAATACAACCAGACAACAATCACTTCAACTTCAACAACAAGCTTTGGAAGGTAAATAGGTAAATTAGTCAATTAATTAATATGTGCTCATAAAAAATAAAATGTTCCTTGTTAACCTAACTTTTAATGGTGAGCATGTCATCTAATTTTATGTGAGTTAGACAGAATAGCATTTATCAGAACTTGAGACTTGTTGGTTTAACAAATTTGACATGAAATATTTAACAAAAATATGTTTGAATATACCCAGCTGCTAAATGAAGAATGAAGTAAGAATTAGTATATGTATATACTATGGAATATGTATAAATTCTGATCCAAACAGAAAGTAAATCAAGATGTAGTAGTTACGTGTTTAAGATTCAACCCTTCCAGTGATTTAGTCAAAACAAAATTAAATAGTAAGTTTATTCATGAAATTGCCTTGTTTTGTGTTATTTTCATCAAATTTATATTCTCATGGGATCATTACTTTATTGAGAGCATTGTGATGCCAAAGGTTAATTGTGGGAATTTCACCTTAAAGAAAAAAACTCTGATCACAAATCTTCACTTGCAAAATGCCAGAAACCTTGGTTTGTTTCATAGAGATATGAAAGTTGCTAAACCTATGACCTCCACAGGGATAATGTCTCTGTGATTCCAGACCATTATGTGCACCAAGAATACAAAGTCTTGAAAGACAACATGGGCAGATTTCATTTTTGCAAGCCTTCCCATTTCTCATTTCTCCCTTGTTTGTCCCAATAGAGCTATTACGATGGAAAACACACTTGTCATCTTGTCAACAGTGGCTCCTGACACTGGAAGATACTATGTCCAGGCAGTAAATGACAAAAATGGAGAAAACAAAACCAGCCAGCCCATTACCTTGACTGTGGAAAGTAAGTGATATAGACTGAAATTAAGTTGTGAACAGTGAGTATTGATCAATAAGCTATATGATGAATGAAAAGCAGTTTGGAAACCAGCATAACATCTGCACTAATCAAATGCAAAAATCACATTATGCAATACAGAAGCTCGTGTCGTGTCAAGTATATGTCAAGAATGCTGCAATAAAACATCATCTCAGGCCAGTACTAATCAATACACCAAACGATGAATGAAACCTTAAAATAAAGAAGTCAATGTGATGCGACACTTAATGCAAGAATTCACTACTAAACAAGAAGTAAGAAATTAAGTTGTTATCAACAGGTTGTCTTCAAATTTATCATTCATCAACCTTGCATTAATATCTCTGAAATTGATCTGTCTATGCTTGATGTAATTCTGGCATGCGGAATTTTAAAAAACTTTCATTTACTAAATTATGCATAAATATTATACTGAGCGACAGTGGGCTTTTTAGGGATGGCCTTTTACAATATAATCATTAAAGCCATCTCAATGATGTCTTAACCTTTTTGCATATATTGTACTTATATGAAAAACATGATCAGCTTATTGTTAACATCATACTGACTGCATCAGAGGGTTAATGATCTATCTGAGATTTCTAATACCCAATAGACTTCAAAAGTAGTTCCTATCCTTTTGCTTCAAACAAATGTATTCATACAACCTCCACCTTAAAACAATCCTCTTAATAATCAGTGCTATTTGTAGTGTTTTACCATAAATCAATAAGAAGTGCAGTAAGGCATTTCAGAACCCTGAGCTTCATTAATTAAAGTAGCCAACGCCCCACTGGTAAGTTATATTTAGAAGAGGAAATTTAGGAACAGCCTAGCAATTATGGAGAATGAATAGTCAATTAATTCTGAGCTAAGAGCCTAAGTCTACAGTTGGATTATAACACACTTATTGACAGACAGGGATGAGCAAGTACTCCCTAAAATAATCCATTTTCAGTTATTTATGAATTAACATATTTCCTTCTTTTGATAGATGTGATTATACTATAGAAATCATTTTATTTGTTTTACAATTTTTTTAGTAATAAACCAATTGCACCAATATTTTTAGTCGGTTAAATTCAAATGAAATGTAGTTCAAATTGATTAATCAGAAGAAAGTGAGGTATTTTCCCTGGTTACCACTTCTTGGCACTTTGTAGTAGTTGCCACCTCTAACATAACATGGCACTGGGTACATGTTGTTTGAGCTAGTTCACTACCCTTGGTTCTTTTTTGTCTTTGCTTTGTCTTAGGCCTATTTCAGGTGATTAATTCCAGTGTACTCACATCTAACGAGTAGCTACAGATGAGGCATTGTTCTTGGATAATAAGAAGGTTTATTGTATTGTAACAATAAGTACAGATATATTTGGTCAGGCATCATTATTAGAACCTTAGAGAGCTGATGCATGTATATCTGTTCCATCCAAAAGCTAAAGTAGAACTCCTTTTCTATCCACAGCATGCACGACATCAGTAGAGTGGGTAGAGTCAGCATAATATGAACGCTAATCCCATTAGAACTGTTACTTCATACAAAAGAGTGTATTGTGATTTTGTTTTGTTCTCACAATGGCAGTTCTGCATGTATGTGACATCTGTGGAAGAAGATAATCCAGTGGCTGTTCTATAGTTGTACTTTAATTTCAGAATAATACACATTCCTCTTTTCGAAGATCGAAAACAAAACAAAATTAGCATAAGAAAATGAAGTCTGAACATTCAATATTGCTACTTTCTTTCATTTGTTTCTGTTATAGAATTTGTTTTTAGTTGGACTGGATTGCAATGTGCCTTTGTTTTTCACTTTTTAACACTTATTATAACAATGAAGGGTGCATATATAGGCAGAAAACTCAAGGGCAAAAAAAAGGGGCTAAGTTTGTATGGAGAATGTAAATGTCTTCATTCCATCCCCTTTCTCACACTGGGAAAGATATATGTAAAAACACCTTCTTCTACGGTTGTTAATATTAATGTCTCATGTATACAAGAACCAAGATATGAATCAATTGTTGTACCAAAGCAGAGATATTACTCTTTTTTAATTAATCATTAATGAAAGACAACTCCACACATTAGAAAATAATGAGATAAACAAGGAGAGATAATTTCCTTTCTGTTTCATATGCTCATTGGTTTTTCTTGTCTTCTGATTTCAATGAAACTGACAATAGAATCAATGGTTTGCATTGCAAATGAAATCCTTTGGAAATGAAAGAATAACAATCCAGGTAGTAATCAATACAACTATTTTATTAATGCAGTGGTGCTGCTACAAATTTGAATTTCAAATTGATTGCATATATGCAGCATTACTTTGGCTTCTTAACCAGGCAGGTTGACTGCAAAATAGTAGCTGTGACATTTACTTTAGCCCTTGGCTTGCTAATCTCAAAGCACAAAATGAGGTGAAGAATTCCTGCCCATTCCTTGTACTTTTCACTAAGTTATGAATTTTAAAGAGCTCTGAGCTGGTCTCTAGATTTCAAATGATCCTGTCAGCTTCTTGCAGAATTTAATTTGCAGTAAATCTTTGCTGACTGACAAAACAGTTTAGTATTTAAGGGTTGTTCAGACAAATCTGCGACAGCTGAAGTTCATCCGTTCTAAAGATATAATTTGTTCTTTGTTGTTGAGTAGTTAATAAGTGTGGTGCACAGAAGAATTAATGTTCCCTCCAAACTGGGGAAAATGTTGTCAAAACTCAACCAAGTATATGTTGATCTGGAAGCCAGTCCATGTTGACAGAATTCCAGAATGCTGGAAATTCAAAAGTAGCCTTCAATAAGAGAGAACACTAGTAGGTGCAAGTACATCTATGAAAGTGCACCTGCAACTTCAACATTTGGGTGCACCTAAGATGTTTTTAACTTAAACCCAGAAAGATTGCTACTATTTACGGAACAAGTTCCATTTCTAACCATGATCTCTTCTCTCTGAACAAAATTCAGAGCTAACTTATCTCTGTCTTCTTTCCAAAGCAGCCTGCAGCCTCTGCTTTCTTCCTGCATCACAAGTCTGCTGCTGTGTTTTCTCTTTTCCTTTTTGTTCCCATCAACATGCTGCTAGCTTCATCTGTCCCCCAAGCCATTTCCAAATGCTGTTATTTGTTTACTCCCTAAATGCTACTGTTGACTTCTATTTGTGTTCCCTCAGGTGCCACTGGTCTCTATCTCATCTCTACAGATGCTTCTTCTGGCTTCTCTCACTTAAAGTGATGTTTCTTAAAGTGTCGCCTGTAGATCAGTTGTCATAATGTTGCCAAGTCAGGGGCTTGAGTCCTGCCCAAGGAACTTCTGCTTGTAACAAAGGCTGACACTTTAATATAGTACTCAGAGCGCTGGACTGCTTGTAATGCCATTTTTCAGAAGGGACTGAAATAACTCTACAAAGGCCGGTATCTCATCACCAAGTCAGCCTTTATTTACACGTGCATACTACATGACACTGACCCAGTTAACTCAGAGCCGGCTCCTAGAGCGAACAGAACCCCTGTCGCTCTTGTTTATATCTGTCAGCCATGACTCCTCGATTAGCCCAGATTAACAGCCCCAGTTAGGGAACTCATATTCTGTGAGATCCACCTGGCTGACCTTGTTGCAATCACTACAGGGGCATTAAACAGAGGTGATGCCTACTCTCCCATGTGGACATAGCCAATCCTGTGCTCCTTTTCTAAAGGAGGGCAGTTGCACCTTAACTACCATCACCACCAAACAAGTTTGTGCAAATTATTTTTCTGTCACCTTCTAGTAAAAAAAAATGAAAAAAAGTGTTGAGATATTATGGTGCTCATTATATGAAACCTTAACGCCATATTTTCATGTCACCATTCAAGTGACCCGCTTCCTCTGTCACACCTCTTGTACATCACTGAACAACCCTTCTCACAATATTTCTAAACATGAGTAATAATAAATTACCAGCAATAAATATAGGGTCATGAGTTCACTAACATAAGATTGTAATATAATTTTAGTTTTCAGTTAATAATCAATTTGAGCTTTATTCAAGAGTTTATGATGTCAAACTACCTCTGTTAGGTTACTGTCTTTCATTTGCTGCCAAACATTTGTTATCTTCCATTTCCCATAAGAGGAGGCTTTAACCTCTGTTAGGTCTTTGGGGGTGTGACTAATCAGGATAAGAGAGTGGAAACAAAAGAACGATCTACCGTTAGAGCACACTTTCACCTATGCAGGGATGTAAACTGGCAGATAAGATACTTGGAGGTAGACCAAGTAGTCAGGAATATTGTATGCTACAATGAGATCTGATGAAACAGGAGAATATAAATGACAAATCATGAGAAATGGAGGAAAATAGAGTTTTTATTACCTATTTTATTGAATAAATTTACCTTAAATTTAAAGGATAATAAGTAAATGGTTTTCATGAAAACAACAAAAAGTAATTAACTTTACATCAACAATTCATCCACCTTTTGAGAAACATTATTTGGTTGTAGAAACTGTAGCCTATGTATTGCCATAACTTGCCTTTCCAGTTCAGCTGTAATATTAAATGTATTGTATAAAGCAGATAAAATCAGATATTCAGTTTGTGAAATTGTTACAATGGAAGTCCACTTTGAACATGATTGTATTAGAAAATCTGATTATGCACTGGATGACAGACTTCAAAATGTTATAATCTCTGGCTGCTAAATATAAAACGGAAGGAATGGGAGGAGACGATTCATAAGAAATTAAGTTTTGAACAAAAATCCTACAATTTTTTTTCTCCTTGATTGAGCCATGGTCAAGTATTTTAAAGTTAAATGAAGTGTTGACTCCAATGTGAAACAAGTTCATCTTCTTCAACTTGACACAGTTAACCTTTTGGTTTCTGCGTGATGATTTTGGCACCTGCTCTACAGAAAGCAATTATATGTATGTTCCTCTCTCCTGCTGTTTCCTGGCATCTGATTCATTTTGCACATAGAGATAAGGTAGAAACTTGAGACTCATTAGCCTGGG